CCCCCCGTAGACTGATCACACCCCCGAGAAGTGATGTCTCAGTTCTCCAGCGAGGATGAGGCAGAGCTCCAGAGCCTGCTGCGAGAGCTCCTGAAAAGTGTCAAAGATAGAATCTCAGGAGCACCATCGGTAGAATGTGCTGAGGAGATTCTGCTTCATTTGGAGGAAACTGACAAGAACTTTCACAAGTAAGAGAAATGTCTCTTCCAGTACATGTTAAGACTGATTGTGATTACCGTTTGTTTGATCTATTTTCATGCCCTCCCTCTGTTTTTCAGCTATGAGTTTGTGAAGTATCTGCGGGAGTATGTAGAGCGCTGTTTGGGAGCGGTTATTGAAGAAGAGACTGAGAATTTAACCAGGGGTGACGGTCATGCTGTGGGGTCTGGGCAGGACACCCATGCTGTTACGAAGAGGACTAGGGAGTCCACAGAGTATGTGTTTTTATGATTCCTGTTACCTTGTGTTTCTTGATATGATATAAGATACTTTTGTGGATGTTCGCTCACTGCATGATGCAATGCAGTGAGAAAGTAAATGTTGTCTGGAATCTTTTGAAAATGAAATGAATGATGAAATGCGATGATGAAAGTGAAAGTACCGTGTGTTTTCCGATGTAATAAGATGTTTTACTAGATGCATTGCTTTCTCATTGCATGATGCAAAAATATCAGCACAAATGTAATTTTGCAAGTAGTTCGATATAGAATCGTTTCAGAGAAATTCAATTTCAGCAGTTTTCACATTAATTTTCTCCATAAACATTTTCAAAATTCTTTCAGTAAAAAGCTCTAAGTCATGAAACCAACCAACCATCTCCAGTATGAATAACAGCATTACAGTAACTGATTTTAAGCAAAAAAAAAGGCTTAAGACTGTGTATTTAATGTATTTTAGGATAAAAATGAACTACGTATCCCATAAAGCATTGCAAATTACATAAATGAATCAGATACAACAAAAGGATATAAAAATATTTCAAAATATTATACAAACAATATATTAAGTTTAAAAGCTTGGGGGTTGGTAAGATTTAAAAAAAAAAAAAATCTTTTTGAAGTTTCTTATGCTCGCCAACCATTTATTTAATAACAAAGTAATATTGTGAAATATTATTACAATTTAAAATAATTAGTTTACATTTTAAAATATATTAAAATATAATGTATACCTGTAATGGTAAAGCTGAATTTTCAGCAGCCATTACTCCAGTCT